GGGTGCACTGTGGGGTGGCTGTGGGGTGGCTGCTGGGCAGTGCTCCCCGTTCCCGGGGGGGTTCCTCTCCCAGCATTCCCGGGCTGTGTTCCATGGCCATGCCGGGCTCTGTGCAGGTGTGGGAGGGGCGCTGGCGGGTGATCCCCTACGAGGTGCTGCCCGACTGGCTCAAGGACAACGATTACCTCCTGCACGGCCACCGGCCCCCCATGCCCTCCTTCCGCGCCTGCTTCCGCAGCATCTTCCGCATCCACACCGAGACCGGCAACATCTGGACACACCTGCTGGGTGACTGGGGGGAACGGGGATCCTGGGGGGGCCTGGGGGGTCCTGAGCCCACACACAGCTCCTGGACTTCCTCCAGTGGGGGTCAGCTCCTGCTCCACAGTGGGATGGGAAAAACTGGGAAAAACGGGAAATCTGCAAGGGTGTTCCTCTGAAATCACCCCAGAGGAGGCCCTGGAAATGCTCCCAGGGCTGGAGCCCCTCTGCTCTGGAGCCAGGCTGGGAGAGCTGGGAATGTTCCCCTGGAGAAGGGAAGGCTCCAGGGACACCGTGGAGCCCCTTCCAGGGCCTGAAGGGGCTCCAGGAGAGCTGGAGAGGGACTGGGGACAAGGGATGGAGGGACAGGACACAGGGAATGGCTTCCCACTGCCAGAGGGAGGGAGAGATGGGAGACTGGGGAGGAATTGCTGGCTGGGAGGGTGGGGAGGGGCTGGGATGGAATTCCCAGGGGATGCCCCATCCCTGGAAGTGCCCAAGGCCAGGCTGGAGCAGCCTGGGATGGTGGGAGGTGTCCCTGCCCAGGGCAGGGGTGGGATGGGCTTTGATGTCCCTCCAACCCAAGCAATCCTGGGATTTCATGATCCCAGGAAACACAGGGATGCTCTTTGCCCTGATCCTGCCCTTGGAGCCAGCTCTGCCTCAGCCCAGCACCCTGTGCCAGGCCCGACCCTCTGGGCTCCCCTGGGATACATCCTGAGCTCCCCTGGGACACATCCTGAGCTCCCCTGGGACACATCCAGCACATCCCACATCCCGGCCCCCCTGGCTGTTGGGCCCGTGCTGATCCCAGCTGCCTGCAGGGTTCGTGCTGTTCCTGTGCCTGGGCATCCTGACCATGCTGCGGCCCAACATGTACTTCATGGCGCCGCTGCAGGAGAAGGTCGTGTTCGGGATGTTCTTCCTGGGGGCCGTGCTCTGCCTCAGCTTCTCCTGGCTCTTCCACACCGTCTACTGCCACTCCGAGAAGGTTTCCCGCACCTTCTCCAAGTGAGCTGCTCCCCTTCCCGAGGGTGGGAGCCCCGGGGGGAGGGATGGTCACCCCCTCCGGCTGGGTCCGGGGAATCTGCCCTGGGAGCACCCGGAATCTGCTGCATCAGAGGCCTCCGGGGGGTGGGAAAGGTGTGGGAGCCTTCAGCTCCCACGGGAGCAGCCTGTGCTCCCAAGGGAATAGGATCCTGGTCCCAAAGGAACAGCCTGTGCTCCCAAGGGAATAGGATCCTGGTCCCAAAGGAACAGCCTGTGCTCCCATGGGAATAGGATCCTGGTCCCAGGGGAACAGGATTCGGGCTCCCAACGTAGAGGCTCTGTGGTCCAAGAGAACAGGCTCCATAATCCCAGGGAATCGGCTCTGTAATCCCAGGGAACAGGCTCAGTGAGATCCCACTCCCCCAGGCTGTTCCCAGCATTCCCGGGCGCTGTTGTGCTGGGAATGCCACCCATCCCTCGGCACCCCCCCCCAACAGATCCCATGGAGTGTCCTGGTGTTCCCTGGGGACACCTTTCAACTGGGATGGGCCCTCGAAGTAGGATCCCAAATCCACGTGCCTGGGGCTGGAGTCTCCAGATCCCTCATTCCCCCCATCCCAGCGGGACCCCACCCCCATTCCGGGGAGTGGCCACCCGATGGGGGCTGTGTGCCATTCCAGGTTGGATTATTCGGGAATTGCACTGCTGATCATGGGCAGCTTCGTCCCGTGGCTCTACTACTCCTTCTACTGCTCCCCCCAGCCGAGACTCATCTACCTCTCCATCGTCTGTGTCCTGGGAATCTCCGCCATCATCGTGGCTCAGTGGGACCGGTTCGCCACCCCCAAGCACCGGCAGACACGGGCAGGTGGGAATGGGGGAATTGGGAATGGGGGAAATGGGAATGGGGGAGTGGGGAAATGGGGAAATTTTGGGGGAAATTGGGGAAGATGGAGGGATTGGGGAGCTCTGGATCCCTGTTTGGGGAAGGATCAGTGCCAGGAGGAGTGGCCAAGGTCAGGGAGTGTTTGGGCAAGTTCAGGAAGAGTTTGGAGAAGTTTAGGGAGCATTTGGAGAAGTTTGAGGAACATTTGGCCAAGGCTCTCAGGGACAGGGTGGGCTCTCTGGGGCTGGCCCTGTGCAGGGTCTGGAGCTGCACTTCCTCCTGGAGTAAGTGGGATTAATGGGAGTGAGTCCAAGGAGCGCCTGGAGAAGCTCAGGGAGAGTTTGGGGAAGCTCAAGGGACATTTGGCCAAATTCAAGGAGCATTTTCAGAAGCTCAAGGAGCGTTTGAACAAGTCCAGGGAGTGTTTGGAGAAGCTCAAGGAGAGTTTGAAGAAGGTGAAGGAGCGCTTGGAAGAGTTCAGGGAGAGTTTGGGGAAGGTGGAGGAGCATTTGGAAATGTTTGAGGAGCGTTTGGAGCAGTTCAGGAGCATCAGGCCAGGGCTCTGAGGGCAGGGTGGGGTTGGGGAGCAGCCCCCCCCCTGCCAGGGCCGTTCCTGAGGCCGCTCTGGGCTCACAGGGGTGTTCCTGGGGCTGGGGCTGAGCGGGGTGGTGCCCACCATGCACTTCACCATCGCCGAGGGCTTCGTGAAGGCCACCACGGTGGGGCAGATGGGCTGGTTCTTCCTCATGGCCGTCATGTACATCACGGGCGCCGCGCTGTACGCTGCCCGCATCCCAGAGCGCTTCTTCCCGGGAAAGTTCGACATCTGGGTGAGCCGGGGGGCTGGGGGGCACAGAGGGTACAGGGGGGACACGGGGGGGAACACAGGGGATGAGGAGGGGATGGGACACGAGGGGAGTTGGGTGGGGACAGTGCTGGGAGAGCAGGACGGGACAGTCCTGGGGCGGTGAGGAGGAGCTCCTGGTGCCACCTGTGCGCCCTGTCCCCGTGTCACCATAGGCCCTGTGCCCCCTGTGTCACCATAGGCCCTGTGTCCCCTGTCCCTGTGTCACCACAGGCCCTGTGCCCCCTGTGTCACCACAGGCCCTGTGTCCCCGTGTCACCACAGGCCCTGTGTCCCCTGTCCCCGTGTCACCACAGGCCCTGTGTCACCTGTCCCCATGTCACCACAGGCCCTATGTCACCTGTCCCCGTGTCACCACAGGCCTTGTGTCCCCTGTCCCTGTGTCCCCTGTCCCTGTGCCCCTATCCCTGTGTCACCTGTCCATGTGTCCCTGTCCCTGTGTCACCACAGTCCCTGTGCCCCTGTCCCTGTGTCCCTATCCCTATGCTCCCTGTCCCTGTGTCACCTGTCCCTGTGCCAGTCCCAGAGCAGTGAGGAGGAGAAGGAATTCCTGGTGTTTCCGTGTCCCCTCTTGGGGAGATCCCACTTGGAGAAGTCGGGCAAAAATCAGGGAAAAATGGAGGAAATGGGGGGAAAATGGGGACTTTGGAGCAGAAAATGGTGGAAAGGTTAAACTGGGGCAAGAAGGGGGGGTTTGCTCTGCTCTAAAGGGCTCCTCCCCCCCAGTTCCAGTCCCATCAGATCTTCCACGTGCTGGTGGTGGCCGCGGCCTTCGTGCACTTCTACGGCGTGTCCAACCTGCAGGAGTTCCGCTACGGGCTCGAGGGGGGCTGCACGGACGACTCCCTGCTCTGAGGCACCGCCTGCTTTTAGCCCGAGCTTTCCTCAAGTGCTTTTTAAACTCTTTTTTGTCTCTGCTCAAACCCAAGGAAGACTCAAAAACCGGGTTTGGGGGTCGCTGGTGGGGTTTTTTTTTTGTTGATCTTTGGGTTTGTTTTTTTTTTTTTAAAGAAATGGAGAAAAATCCTTTAGGAAAGTTGTTGACCAAATCTCCACCCCCTCCCCCCACCGGGGGCTGGGGGGGTTTGGGGGCTGCCCCAGGCCGGGTTTTGCTGCACTGGGGTGTCCCCCAGCACAGGGAGCAGCTGCTGCTCCCACACAGCCGAGCACACCCCGCTCCTCACCCCTCACATATCCCCCCGGGAATTCTGCAGCTCCCGGGGCACAAAGTGTGTAATTTAAATGTTGGAATTGTCCTTTTTTTCTTTTTTTTTTTTCCCGTTTTGTTTTGTTTTGTTTTGTTTTCCTTGACCGTGTAAAGAGAAAGGAGAGGATATTTAATATTTAAACCGAGCTTTAAAGGCGCTCCCTCGGCCGGGGAGGGGAAGGGCGGGGCTGGTCGGAGGGAATTAGAGCTGCTGTAGCCGAGAGAAAATAAAGGTCACTGGTTCAGTGTCACCAGGGCTGGCACTTTGTCACCTTCCTGTGCTGCCTCTTGGGGGGGGGGGGGGGGGCTCTGGCACCCCCAGAGTGGGGCAGTGGGGTCTGCACTGAGCCAGTAAACTGGGATTAATGGGAATTCTGGGGGGGTTGTGGTGGGGATGGGACAGGAAAACCCTCCTGGCTGGGGCAGCTTTGGAGGGGAATTCCCTCTGGGATGGAGGGCAGGAGGTGGCACAGCCCGGGCAGGGCCCTGATGGGGGCTCAGAGACCACTGAGGGGGCAGAGCCCGGCTCAGGAAAGCCCAGCTCAGGCAGCTGAAGGTCATGCTTGTGCCAGGGCTGAGCGTGGGCAGGGCCACCCCTGTCCCTGTCCCACCACGGCCACCCCTGTCCCTGTGCCACCACAGCCCCTGTCCCTGTCCCACTCAGGCTCAGCCTGACTCATCCTGCAGTCCTGTCCTACCCAAGCTGAGCCCAACTGATCCTAAACGCCCCATCCCACCCAGACTCAGCCCAACTGATCCTGTATCCCTGTCCCAGCTCCAGGGGGTGAGGCCCAAGCCCTGGAGTCCTGGGCTGGCTGTGGGACAGGCAGGAGAGAGGGAATGTCCCTTTTGGAGGCCCCGGGATGAGCAGGATGTCCCATCACCCTCTGCCAACGTTCCCAGGCTCAAACCCCACTCCTGGTTTTCCATTCCGGGCTCTGACTCCGTTTGCTCCTCCCTGGGCAGAGGAGAAGCCCCAAAGTGGCTCAGATGTTCCTCGAGGCTTCCAGGATGTCCCAGCCCCTGGCAAGGACCAGCAGGGACCTCCTGGAATGGCACTGGGAAAGCTGCCCGGGCAGGGGGGAAGGGCCCGGAGCAGGTGCCGGGATTGGGATCCCGGGGGAAGCCAGGGCTGTGCTGGGATGAGGGTGCAACCCTTCCCCCTCCAGCCCCACCCCAAATCCAGGCCAAAACTCCAGCTGCAGGTGCCACATCCCAGAGGAGACTCCAAGGCTTTCACTCCAGCGTCCCAAGGATGACAAAACTCCACGTGCTCCTCGTCTCAAACCTCCCTGTAATTCCACCCCACAAGGAACATTCCAGACGGGAATAAATAGATTTGTCGTCTCCTAAAAGTTCTCCTGAGCTCTGGGAAGCGCTGCAGGTGCTCCTGGAAGGCGGGGAGAGGGACATCCCATCCCGGAGCTCCAGCAGGGACATCCCATCCTGGATGGGATGGGAGGGGATGGGATGTCCCTCACTGGTACTGTTGGTAGTTGCTGAACGGGGCGGGCTGGAGCTGGGAGGGATCCTCAGACAACTGCGGGCCTGGAGAAGGAGAGGAGAAGGCAAATCAATCCCAGAAAGCAGGAAATTCCTCCTACAAACAGTTCAGATAAATCCCCCTCGGAATTCATCGTCAATCCCAGCGTGGTCTGGGTTTCTCAGGAAGTTTCAGAAGTTTCCTGCAATGGTTTGGGTTGGAGGGACCTTCAATCCCATCCCATCCCACCCCTGCCCTGGGC